AACATTACAAGCACAAGATTGGCCCAAGGCAATGTTCTTCATCCATCACTAGATAGGGCCACGCGAAGTTGGTACCAAGCACGCCTGGCCATCACATCCACTTGAGATGACAACTGTAAAGATGAATCCAGGAGTACTCCCAAACTGCGTACTTTGTCCTTTAGGGGAAGTGTGACCCCACCCAGGACTGGATAGCAAAGCTCCTTTCCCGGACTTGGGGTACCTATCGCAAGTACCTCTGTTTTCTCTGGATTCAGCTTGAGTTTTTTGTGCCTCATCCAGTCCATTACCGATTCAAGACAGACATCAAGAGGAGCTATGCCATCCTTAGTCACTGCAACAGTCAGAGACATAGAGAAGTAGAGTTGGGTGTCATCAGCGTACTGATAACACCGCGCCCCATGTCTCCAGATGATCTCACCCAGCGGCTTCATGTAAATCTTAAACTATATGGTGGATAGAATAGCACCCTGAGGGACGCCAGATGTCAGCTCTCTTTTTGAGAGAAAGAAAAGAAAAGAACAATAAAGAAAAATAAAGAAACCCAAGTTTAAAATTAAAGTTTTGGTCAATGTTTTAATGGTATTTGATGTAATTGAATGATTAGACAATTAATGAAAATGAGCGGATATATTACCTATGTGGCTTATATGGATGTAAACTTGCATAAAGAATAAAAAATAGTTGTGATACAAACAACTAGCAAAATTAAAATTATACCTTCAAATTACAATATCCCTTATCCATGGATTCTTTATCCATGGAGTTAACCATCTACGGCTTGAAAATATTCAAAGAAATAAAAATTCCAAAAAGGAAACCCTGATTTCCCATTTTATATAAGGGACACTATTTCACTATTCCATTGTCTATAATGGGACATGGGCATCCATAGATTTTGGTATCCACGGAGGGTCCTGGAACCAAATCCCTGCTGATAGCCAGAGCTCACTGTATATAGTGAAGATGTGGTTAAAATGTGAATTTTGTTTTCAAAGAAATTTTTAAAAGAATAAAAATTGTAACATTTTCCATTTTTTCCATTTTTTTAAAAAAAATGAAATTTGACATTTTATTTTTTTAAATAATATTTTTTAATTATTTTTTTTTAAAAAAATTCTTTAAAAACACCACACTTTAATTAAATCTTCACTATATATGTGTAAATACATTTAGGCTGCACATATGATATTGTAATTTGAAGGTATAATTTTAATTTTGCTAGTTTTTAATGTCACAATTATTAGCATTGCATTCAGTGGTATATGGGAATTACGATTTACTAGTAACAATAGTGCAAAAAAGCATGACTAAGGATTCGGTATGGTGTGAAATGGGAGGAGGTCAATGGTGTGTGTGTGATACCATGGGAAACCTCACTGAGTGACACCAACCCTAGGGATGCCCCTGCTTGGACCATGTCTAAGAAGCATGAATTCACATTTATATTCATGGTTTTAGCTGTTATTTAGTAATATATTACTGTTTTTCCTGAATGTCCTACATTTTGCAGTGCCTTGTCCTCTGGTGGGACATCTAGTTGCCATGTCCATGCTGAACATTGTTGTTTTTGTGTGACTTCAAGTTGTTTCTGACTATAAGGTGACCCTTTCATGGGGTTTTCTTGGCAAGTTACTTCAGAGGGAGTTTACCACAGCCATCCTCAGGCTGAGAGACTGTGACTTGCCCAAGGTCACCCAGGGGGTTTCCATGGCCAGGCTGGGATTTGAACCCTGGCCTCCAGGATCATAGTCCAACTCTTAAACCACTACATCACACTGGCTCTGCAATGTTTAAGATGGGGTTTAGATGGGATCCTGCCATCTTGTGCACTTTGGGGGACTAACAAAGAAACCACACAACCCAAAGCACCTAGGGGGCTGTCACTCAGGGGTGCTTTTGCTGTGGTTTCTGCATGGAGATGGCTATAATTGCACAAAATCTATAATTGCACAAAAACAGAGTTCCCAGGTATTTAGAATTCTGCAGTGCAGTGGTTGAGAATTGGACAATGACTCTGGAGACCAGGGTTCAAATCCCTGCTCAGACATGGAAACCCACTAAGGAAACCCAGCCTTAGAGGATGGAAACGGTAAACCCACTCGGAATAAATTTGCCAAGAAAACCCTGTGATAGATTTGCATTAGGGTCATGATAAGTCAGAAACAACCTGAAAGGACACAACAGCAGCAGCAGCAGCAGCAACAACAACAACAACAGTGTGGATAGATCCAATTAAGGGAGGAGGCGTGTGGTCGTGGTGGGGGACTCCTTGCTGAGGGGGACA